ATGCCAACAGCCAACACATGGCTGCAAAGCCATGTCTTCTTCATGTGGATGCCTGCAAGGTGACCCAGGAGTCCTCCTCCCCCTAAATGGCTGCTACTTAGAGCAGGGGTATCAAAAAGGACTTTCTGATGGTGACATTTTATCTCTGCACTGTTCTAAAAGGCAGCCACTGGCAACATGTGACTACTTTTTAGAGTATTAAAGGACAGAAAGTATGACCAAAGAACTGAGTCTTATCTTGGACTAATTTAAATGGCCAGGGTGATCAGAAACAAGCTCTTAGTGGACAGCATCTCTCTCAACTCTCATTGTCTGCGGCCAGTTGTTAAAACCTCGTGGTGCAAGGGCCTTTCTCATTCATCCCCTGCCCAAGTCTAGGTCTCCTGTATTTGTGGGAAGAGCTTCCTTCCCAGCCTGCTCTATACCAGTGATGGGACCCACTCCTCCAGCATTTCCTGGATCCTCACAGCATCATCTCAGGCTACTTCATCTGCCCAGCCCTACACTGCCGGATACCTAGCACCACCTGCCGTTCTAATTCTTCTGTGTTGGGCACATGTGGTCCCCAGAACACAGGCAGCTCTGGACAAACAGACACTTATTCGTGGCTAGGTTGCAAAATGGCTGAAGGCAGGCCAGCTGGGGGAGTTAGAACCTAAGTCTAGCTTTGTGAAAATGTTCAGGTCTGCTTCTCACTCTTGCCTGCTCACCTGGCAACCCTGTTCCAGCTGCAAGGTTTGGTACTAAATCAGGTGAATTCTAATACACTTCATGTATCAGACTAATAAGACGATTCCGTGACCCTCTGGTAAGTATCCATACTGTTAGATTTCAGGCCCCAAACTTTCAGTTACTACAGTTCATGCTTTAGTTCAGTGATGAAAATCATGGAGGAAGTTCAAAAAATTGCTAGTCAAGGTGAATCTGAGTTCCCACTGCTTTCTGAAACAAGATGGCCAGTAATCCCAAGCACTTCACTGATACTTGGCTTTGTACTGGTTTTTGTTGTTGTTTATACTTGGGTCTTCACACATGAGACTCAAAATCAGAATTCTCCATAGTCTGAAGCCCTACTTTGCCAAGTTTCCCTGGAAGTTGTGCCAGTATTACCAGGTGATCAGGCATAAATGAGAAGCAGGCCTGAATGTGTGTGTGTGTATATATATATATATATACATTCATTCATATGTTGTACTTAGAAATACCAGTACAATGGAGGAAAGGGTGTGTATCTTACTGAGCCCACCCTGAGGCCTCTGCCTCATGCTGCCCGCACCCACACAGGCAGTGAGACAGTGCAGGTCCTCTGTAAGACACCTGCCTTACTCCCCCATCACTGCTCAGCCATGGCTGGGGCTGGGTCGCCCTCCCAAGCCATCATCAATCAGGAAAATCGTGGCCAAAGGAATAAGAAATATCTTTCCAGCCCATGAACTAGAAAGAACGGGAAATATATTTTGCTGGAAAATAAGCAGACTGTGACAGAATCCATCAGGTAAACACAAATGGGTGGTCTAGCCCAGGGCAGCCTGGCCCCAAGGAATCAGCTAAAGCACTATATATAAATGCAAACACCAAGCTGTCCTCATACCCACAGCCATCAGGGGCCATACCACGTGTGTCATTCTCAGATAACACCTAGCACACAGCAGAGCCAAGTACACAGTGCAACCATAAAAACAGTAACTCACGAACACGTTCTTGCCAGTTTTGGTCTGACAATGCCACACAGGGTCTGGCCACTGCACTAAAAGACACAATGAGAAGACATGATTCTTTTATCTCCATCACCTTCCACAAAAACTGGCCATGGAGTGGAATGGACAACCTCCACATAAAGCATGCTCACCCTGTCCACATCACTGCAAGCAGGAAGTACTCAAAGTCCCCTACATCCTGAGTATAACAGGAAGCTGAGGGGAGTCTTGACATCGTAGAGATGAGGTGGGGGCTCACTTACCTAAGGATACTAAGTGGGAACAGAGTTATGAACAGCAGAAACAGACTCTCATAGACCTTCACACACCCTCAGGACATAAGGGTTTTCTGCAGCTCACCAGGGAGCCTCACCAATATACTCTCCTGATTATTTAGGAAAAAAGGTGGCTACACCAGGCATGATGGCTATTCCAGGATTTGGGAGACTGAGGCAAGGAGGCCATCATTTTGAGACCAGCCTGTACAGTGAAAGTTGGGGGAGGGGGCGAAGGGTGGGGAGACTAAATAGACTTGTCAGTTGGGCAGTACCTGGAATCTCAGGACTTACTGCTCAGCCAAGTGCTACTCAAGAGTTCCCTTCGCATGTTTATAAATGCTTCCCATCACCTGACCTGAACTTCTACAGCTCGAAAACCATGGTCTCTTCCCCCTGGCTGGAGTTCTAGCCTGTCTGGAAGACCATACTTCCTCATGACAACCCTGGGCTTCTACGAAGCACCTCAGCTCTGTGGTTCCTGTTCTGCTCTACATTTCAACAGTTACTGATGGGAATCAGTGCACTGCAGAGGCCTGACATGCTGATCTACGTCCAGAGAGCTTGCCAAACACAAGGAAAGGAACTCCTACCCTCCCCCCACCTTCACACACACACACACACACACACACACATCCCCCATCCTGCAGGATTCTTTCTGGATTGTTTCAGCATTTGGAAATTATCATTACTGCTTTATTATTTTGGGGATGAGGAATACAGCATTTAAGATAATATATCAAGACCCAATTTTATGCCCCTAAAGTAATTTAAAAAGGCCATCAAATAAGAAGAGTTTTAATGGGAAATTATCTACTGCAACATCTCATTAGGATTCATGTCCCATGTGGCCTTGCACCAAGGAGAATGAATGTTATCGAAGGCCTTCCAAACAGGTTTCCAACTTCTGGGGGCGCTGTCACAGCCACAAGAGCCAATGCCTTCTTCAGGGTTGCTTCCAACTTTTGAAGAATAAAATATCAGCACACTGCATAAAAAAAAAAGTCAAAGAACAACTGGCCTCTCGCTGTGAGACAGCCGGCACTCTGCCTCCACAGGTTCCCCATTCAGATCCACCAACCTCGGATCAAAAACATGAAAAAAACAAAACAAAACAAAAAGAGGGAAAAAGTGTCGCTACTGAACATAAGCAGTCATCTTCTTTGTAATTATTCCTTAAAGAATATAACATAACTATTTACATAGCATCTGCATTGTATTAGGTATCTGAAGTAGTCTATAGGTGATTTAAAGTCTATGGGGCAGGCTACAGATGTAGCTCATTGGCACAAAACTTGCCTAACGCACATAAGGGCCCTGGGTTTGAATCCCAGCACTGTAGGGTTAGACGATAAATACACTCTTTTTTAAAAAGGAAAGTGAAGTGTATGGGACTTAGTGAGTTAGTTATATGCAAACATGATGCCATTTATGAGACTTCAGCATTTGCAGGTTTGGGAATCCAGGAGCAGGGGAATGCCTTGGAATCAATCCCCTGAAATAGGAAGAAAGGCTATTTTTTAAAGTTGTTTTTGTTTGTATTATCTCATATTTAATGTCTTTGTCTTCTTTCGTTATCAGTGTTTCAAGAATTTGGTAGCCTACTTTTCTGAACTTAAGGAGTCAGCATGGTGCCATCTCTGTATGTCTCTTTGGAGTCCTAACATCCATCACTGCTGAAGCCGGGAGCTGTGCTGGGCCTGTGTAAGCAGATGCAGCGCCCCGTCCCCCCCCCTCCGCCGCCGGCCCGCCCCAAAGCAGTCTGGGGCATCAGGTTCACTAAGCACCTGTGTGCCCCAGTTGTTTCCTCCAGAGAGACCTGGAGGAATAACCTCCTCAGAACCCTGTGAGAGTCTGCTCAAGAGCTTTTCACAAGTCACACAAATTCAACCACTATTTAACCCCTGACTGAATCTGTATACTCACCACCCACTAAAAATACCAAGGCAAATCAGTGTTCTGTATTATCTCCTGTCTATATAATATGGAATCTACATTAATGTTCTATAATGCTTCATTAAATGACTAGGGAAGAGGGGATGGAGCAATATGAAGAACACTAAATGAATAAAGCTAACATTAGGTGAGGTATGAGCACAAAACAGATTGATAAAGACACAACCGGACCTTTGAGAAAACTTGCCAAGACTATCCTGTCAAGACTGTTCTCACACCTCCCTGTGCAGTCCCTCAGTGGAGACATCGTGGGTGCCCTGTACCTTGACTCAGGCCCATTCACATGACTTGCTCTGAAGAAGGAGATGCAGCTTGAATGTGCCTGCTCCAAATGACTTATGCCTCTGTTGTAACCCTGAGAGGGCCTCTGCCCTAGAGACACAGGCACTTCAGGCCAGGCCCCCAGATGAACTCATGCATTGCCTGAGCCAACCCAGTTAAGGCAGAGCCTCCCAGCAGACAGGGCCTACATCAGCCAACCTTAGCCAGACACAGGAGCAAAGACAGAGAACTTCTGCTGTAAGGCAATAAACCTGGGGTGCTTGTTACACAGCCTTGCTACAGTAGCAGCTGACTGACACAGATGGCACCCAGTTTTGTAGCTACACCCTCCAAACTAAAACTCTGCCTACTGCAGAGGGTCGAGGCTCATAGAACTCAGGAAGCTTAGGAAGTCAAGACTCACAGGCGCCTCCTCACGGTGACATAGTACAATGCCTGGGGAAGAAAGGACTCTTGAGTGGAGCTGCCTCCAAGTGGAGCAGGGGCAGGGAGCTCCAGGAATGCAGCTCTCCAGAACCATCAGCCAGGCTGGGGTAGGTTTTCTGATGGTGATACAGCTGTCTGAGACTCATCCATGCTCTTGTAAGTAAACCCTCACCCCTGGCTCCTGTATAAAAACCCAAAAGCTCAGTGGTTCATCAAGCTGGACTTGGGTGGACCTGTTTCTCTGGTCTGTCACCAGTTCCCAACCTGGGGCGACCAGGAAAAGTGAACATACAACACTAAGGACACCCACCAGTCTCAGAGAAACAGCTTTCCCTCAAGCTCACAAAGCAGTCAGGGCACTCACCAGGCTCGCCTTTTCTCTTTGAACCAGACTTCTTCTTTGCAGGCGCCTCTTGCTTTGGTGCCTCCTGGCTCTGGATCATTCCTGTATTTTTACCCTGGGCAGGAGCTGATTCTGACTTTTTACCCTGATTGGCAGCTGTGTCCACCTTTTTGCCCTGGTTGGGGGACTCTTCTACCTTTTTGCCTTGGTTTGGGGCTCCTTCTGCCTTTTTGCCCTGATTGGGGGACCCCTCTGTCTTTTTCCCCTGGCTTGAGACACCTTCTGTCTTTGTGCCTTGATTAGCAATTGCATCTGTCTTTCTATTCTGATTGGGAGTCCCTTCCCCTTTCTTGCCTTGGTTAGGACTTCCATCCCCCTTTTTGCCCTGATTCTGGGTCCCCTCCCCTTTCTTGCCCTGGTTTTGGGCCCCTTCCCCCTTCTTGGTCTGATTCTGGGCCCCTTCCCCCTTTTTACCCTGGTTCTGGGCCCCCTCCATCTTCTTGCCTTGGTTTGGGGTTCCTTCTGCTTTTTTGCCCTGGTTTTGTATACCCTCAGCTTTTGTGCTCTGGTTGGGAGACCCGTCCCCTTTCTTGCCCTGGTTCTGGGCTCCGTCCCCTTTCTTGCCCTGGTTCTGGGTCCCGTCTCCTTTCTTACCCTGGTTCTGGGTCCCGTCTCCCTTCTTACCCTGGTTCTGGGTCCCGTCTCCCTTCTTACCCTGGTTCTGGGCCCCGTCCCCTTTCTTGCCCTGGTTCTGGGCTCCGTCTCCCTTCTTACCCTGGTTCTGGGCCCCGTCCCCTTTCTTGCCCTGGTTCTGGGCCCCCTCTGCTTTATTTCCTTGGTTAGAAGAACCTTCTAACTTTTTGGCCTGGTTTTGGGCCCCTTCTCCTTTCTTGCCTTGGTTTGGAGTTCCATCTGTCTTCTTGCCTTGGTTCTGGGCTCCTTCCCCCTTCTTGGTCTGGTTCTGAGCCCCTTCCCCCTTCTTGGCTTGGTTCTGGCCTCCCTCGCCTTTCTTAGCCTGGTTTTGGTTTGTTTCCCCCTTTTTGCCCTGATTTTGGGCCCCTTCTCCCCCCTTCTTGGCCTGGTTCTGGGCCCCCTCCCCCTTCTTGG